CCCTGCTCCGGCGTGGGCTCCTCCCCGGGTGCAGGAGGATCTCTGCTCCCCGGGGGCCTCCATGGGTGCAGGGCACAGCTGCCTCCATGGGCTGCACCGGGGTGCAGGGGAATCTCTGCTCCGTGCCCGGAGCACCTCCTGCCCTCCTCCTGCACTGACCTGGGGGCTGCAGAGTCCTTCCTCTCGCGTATTCTCACTCCTCACTCCAGCTGCTGTTTGTGTCCCCAGTGTGGGTTTTTTTTTTTTTTCCCCTTCTTAAAGATGTTATCCCAGAGGTGCTACCACCATCACTGACTGGCACGGCTTTGGCCAGCAGTGGGTCCATCTTGGAGCTGGCTGGCATTGGCTCTGTTGGACACAGGGGAAGCTTCCAGCAGCTTCTCACAGAAGCCACCCCTGCAGCCCCCTGCTACCGAAACCTTGCCGTGCAAACCCAATACAGAGACATTCACTTTAGGGAGAGGAGGTAGACCTTAGCAATAAATAACAATATGGTTGTGACTGCACCCAAGACTGCTGATTACAATCCTAATATAGTAACAAAAGGTCTTAAAAGGGAACAGTAGGCCTTAACACAGCATGTCTGCTGAAAATCTGGGCGTTATGGTTCAGGGAGATAGAAGAGATCAATATTTAACTGCTGTTCCTGATAATTGTATGTCAAATGATTTCTGTTTATCCCATATCTGCCCATATACTTTTTAATAAATTGGATTTCTTCTTATGGAGATCAGTTAATGGGTTAATTGTGAGGAAGGAGTAATGGAGAAAATGTTGGAATGGAGATGATTAGATAGAAAAAACCAGACTTTTTGGCTTCTGGAGGCAGGGAAAGAAGAAAGAATGTTTGACAGAGAGGATAAGGGAACTGTTTAGAAAAACAGTTAATCAATAGGTAATTGCAGCTGAGACATCAGTGTCCAGGTTTTGCTAGCTTTGTTTCTTTGAAAAGGAAAAAACTGATAATACCATGCATCTTTCCTTCTTCAGGGCGTGAGGCTCTACTGCCGACTACACTGCCTATATACTCCAGTGGTAAAGTAAGTTCTCCTTCATGATCCCCTTGTATATATTATGGCTTTGTTAAAAGGATGTCATGTTACTGTTAATCTTTCTTCTTTCTTATTATAAATAGTCATTTTTTGCATTTTCGTGGCTCTTTTACCACCCTTCTGTCTCCACAGTTTAGATCTGTGGTTGTACTTCTGCTGGAGGATGTTGGAACTGGGTTCTGGGGGAGTGAAAAGCTAGTGTTACAGTCTGCCTGACATTTGCTTCCTCTGTCAGCTCATGAGAGCTGTTAGCCTGACACAAGTTTATTTGTTTACACTGACATTTTCTGTGAGTTAAAGTGGCTGTGATTAATAAGTCACTACTGATTCAGGGCAGATTGTGCAATGCGATTGTATTATTTGGGCTGTAGAAAAAGTAAACAGATGCTAAAGTGATGTAAACAGATTCCAGTGTGATCCTAGGATTCTTTCATTCAAAGCACCCTAAACAAACAAAAACCCATCTGAAGTGGAACAAAACCTGAAGCTGTAATTTGAAAAAACCCTGAAAATTTTGGATGGAATCTACAGAACTTAGCTCTGTATAAATAAATGCTAAAGAATTGAGATAATCTGCAAACGCTAGTTAACTCTCTTCCCAGATCCCAGAAGATGATTTTCAGATGTTGTTGCCTTACTGTGACATCAGATAAACATTTCTGGTCTATAATGGAAACCACCCTGAGCCATGTAGGTGTTCTGTTTAGATGTTTATGGCTGACAATTAGGTATTTTTACTTAGGAGAACTTCATTTTTACATACAAAAGACTGATGAGGAAGAAAAAAAACTGGTGGGCATGGCTGGAGTCCCAACTTCAACAAAACTGACCTCTTGTCCCTGAGTTGTACACCAGATGTTTCACTGAGAGATGTCATTGTCATGCTAAAAGGAGCAGCAAAGATAGTTACAGTTCATAAATTTGCCTAGTTAGATCTCTGGTTTTGCCCAGAATAGCCGTTCTACAATAGCACAGATTTCAGTTAGCCTAAAGGGTATGGAGAGAGCAGGAAAGCGTGATGCAGCCCTTGGTAGGCAAAATGGCTATGTATATGCATGAGTGTATTTGCACATACGCATTTCACCCCTTAAGATGGCAATTCACATGCAGAGTAGGAATAATGGTCACTGAAGCTGAAAAAATTTCACTGGCTGGCCTCAGGGTACCCACAAACTGAAAGGGATGTGGTCTTATGCTTTAGGGATTCAACAAGGACAATATCACTACCATAGGCCTGTCTTGTGGTGTTTTATCAATGTGCTATTTTTGTAATAGAATCCCAGCTGGAGAATCTTCTCATACCGGGATTAATCTGTGTTAGTGACAGCATGAGTCTAAACTGTGTATGACCAGTGAAAAATAGCAGACTGTCAGAAGTTTAGCCTGGGATTGTTCAGCCTGGAGAAGAGAAGGCTGAGAGGAGACCTTATCGCTCTCTACAACTACCTGAAAGGAGGAGGTTGCAGTGAGGTGGCTGTTGGTCTCTTCTCCCAAGTAACTAACGATAGGACGAGAGGAAATGGCCTCAAGCAGAGTCAGGGGAGGTTTAGATTGGATATTAGGAAAAATTTCTTCACGGAAAGAGTAGTCAAGCATTGGAACAGGCTGCCCAGAGAGGTGGTGGAGTCCCCATCCCTGGAAGTGTTCAAAAAATGGGTAGACGTGGCACTTTGGGACATGGTTTAGTGGGCATGTTGGTGTTGGTTGATGGTTGGACTGATGATCTTAGAGATCCTTTCCAACCTTAATGATTCCTAGTTTTTACTTTCATTAAAAAATAATCCAGCCCCCAAGCCAGGAAACATGAAATTATTACTCTACCCTTAATTGGTTTAGTGGTGGACTTGGTAGTGTTAGGTTAATGGTTGGACTGGATGATCTTAAAGGTCTTTTCCAACCTAAACGATTCTATGATTCTATGATTCTGTAAGTTTTAGAATCCTTCTGGATAGACTTTTAACATTCTCAGTATGTTCAGGCTCTTCTTCCCACCACTGTCTTTCCTACTCACTCTTCCTTTTATCTCCCTGTTAGAAAACTGAATCTCCTAGGCTGTCAACCTTTCATGTCTTATCATGTCTTTTTGCCTCTGACAAGCCTAACGTTAGTCTAAAGGAGCTAGCTTTTAACCAAGTTAGTTGTGCAAAGCGTATTACTTTCTGCTGTGCCTTTGGACCACTGCTTTATCTTGCATCTTCAGACTGCTGATCCCTGCAATCATGCTAGCAGGGTTGATGAGGCCTACTTTTCTGGTGCAACCTTCCTTCTAGAAAATGAGCAAAACTGCTTGGAGTAGCAGGTGCATGTGCCAGGAGGATTTGGAGGAATCATAAAGTTCAAAATTCAATTACTTTGTTGACAGCCTTGGAATGTAACTTTGCTTAGTTGTCTTCCCTGGAAACCTGGGAGTTTCCATGTAGCCTTTGCCTTTATAATTTTCTTTAAGTAAACTCTTGACACTGACATACTTTGAGAATAAGATGATATACCCCACTGGAAACAAAGCATGCTACTTTGGGAGCTGATACATAAAAAGTGAAACGTTTTGAAAAATCTTAGATGTAGAGAAGGTTCTGAATATGTCTCTAATCTACTTCGGGGAAGTCGCGAGGGTGGGCGTACTTGCTCACACACGTGTGCTGGTCGATACTTCAGTGCATAGATGGGCTAGACCCTGTGAAGAACATTATATTCCTCTAGTTTCTGTGAGGCAGCAAGGTTCTGCCAAAATTTCAGTGGTTCCCACATCTATGTTTGACTATTCACCTGCAGCTCATGGTTCTGGATAACATTCTATGATTCATGCTCTACTCTTGTTCAGGCTAGATTGAAATGGGGGGAAAAGTCAGTGAACTAATGTTGAAATACTCATCCTGACAAGCATTTAACTACAAGCGGTCAAAGACTGGGCCTTGGACCAAGACCCTGATGCCAGCTTATTCAAAACTCTAGCTCTGTCAGCATCTGTATTAAAATGTTGGGAGTTGCTTCTCACAATCTGGAATCCCCTACTCATTAGTACTCAATATTTTAATGCTTTGCTTTATTGTTCCGACATTTCAAAAGCACATTTTCTCAAGATAAGAGTGTGAGAGGGAAAAACTGCCCAGAAAACTCCCACAGTTTTGTGCTGGATTTAGCACATTACTGGAAGACAAATCAAAAAATGTGTGTAAGAGCTGTGAGGAAAGCTTTTGCTCTGAGGACACATATTTCTGGAAATGCTGTCATTTTTGGGGTTTCTGTTTTGTTGAGTTTTTTTTCCCAAGTTCTGAAAGTCCTGCTTCCCTTTCTAATTTCTCACACCCTGTGTTCTGCAAACACACAGGCATTTCTGCTACATTTATTTACAAAAGCCAGTCACAACATATTTGTATCTGTAGATGATTAGTAAAAGGAGAGGATGAGTAGGATGAATTTTAGATGGTGGTTCGATTTTAGAATTTGAGAAAAAAGGAAATACCAAATGGTGTGGTGCTAATGAAAGAGATTGATTTGACAGAATTGAAGAATAAAGTCTCTCTTGAGCTGCCATATAGATACATCCGGACTGTAAAACAGTCACAGTGGCTGTGAAAGTTTCCTTCCACAGTCATGCCAGTGGACCTCAAGCTTGAAGTAGAAGGACCACCTCCAAGAGTGAGAGAGGAATTAATTCTTCATAGCCATTCAGCATTTGGCCTGTCTACTGAGACTCTCAACAAGAGGGAGCCAATTAATGCAAATTAATTGTGGTAATGGCTTTTGTGATGTGGAGCTAGGAACTGGATCAAGACCACCAAACTTATTTCACACGGGCCAGTAAACAGCCTTAAAATGGAAAGAGCTTTTCATTCTCTCATGAGCTGGATTAAATCCAGTGACCTGGAGGTGAAAGGTGTTAGAGCCCAATGTGCTGAGCCACATAGTCCTCTTATATTTGTATCAAAATTCTTTAGAAGTATTTTATGAAAGACTGAAAACATCAATTATCTCCGTGGCTCTGAGAAGAGGAATGGAAGAAAACTGCTAAATGCGGCAAGTTACAATAGGGTTTCTTTTCCTTATTTCAGGAACAGTGCTGCTCTCTATGAGGGCTGTGTGTGAGATGGTGCAAGTTGTGTTACAAGACCTAAATACAACACTGCTTTTTTTTATTTACAATGGCTGAAATTATCTAGTGTCATAAAAGAACACTGTGCTCCATTTGTATCTGGCTACTCTGTGATATTTTGCTAAAGGAAATAAAATCTGAACAGATGGGGAGAATCAGGAAAATCTCTCTTGACACAGTAGGCTAAAAGCTGCTTAATTCAGTGAGCCTAAGAAAAAGGAGGCACGGAGGGAATATGTAGGGTCACTGTCTATGAATACATTGATGGGTAAAGACTAGAGAAGAACTATTTAAGCTTATAGATGGGGCTGGCACTGAGCCAATAAATGGAAACTGGACATGAATGGATTTAGGCTAGAAACTAGACGCTGACTTCCAGCCAGAAGAATGTGATTTTCAACAGGACCGATGGTGGCAATATTCTAACCTGAGTTGAAGAAGCAGCTCAGTACATCTGTGAAAAGAACGTCCTGGTTGCCTCTGGCAGGAATATGAGCTCTGTGAAGATGGCTTGAAACAACATGTAGAGAAATTTGAAATAACACTGCTCTGTATTGATCTGAAATATCTTCCTAATTAAAGTTGTTAGAAAAGTTTAAAAAATAGTCCTTTCTTGTAGAGAAAAAGGGTATCTGCTTCATATATTTTGTCTTATTTATTTTTAAAAGTCAATTTCATATTCAATGCATGAGTTGGGATATTTTTTTTTTTTTTTTTTCTATCTATAATTCTTCTTTCCTCAGCTTCATAATATTAGGTCACAATAGTATACGTGGGTTTAGAGTGTAAAAGAAATGTTTGCCTTTTTGTCCTGATTTTCCCTGAATTCTCTTTCTTAACTAGAGACCGTGACTACCACCTAAAGACCTACAAATCAGTAATCCCTGCAAGTAAACTAGTGGATTGGCTTATTGCACAGGTAAGAAAATTTTAAGATACTGCTGTCTTTGACAAGTAGCTTAATTTTTTAGTTCCATTTGAAAGTAAATAAAATGCATTTATCTAGAGAACATAATTAAACATATTCTCATTCTTTGAACTTAAAATCTTATGCTTTCTGTTATTGTTCATTTGGTGAAAACTTATTATTTGGCAGCATAAAGAGGAAGAAAGTCCTTTGTTAGCCCTAGGAGTGGTGAACTGGCTGTTTTCGGGGTTCTTTCCTATTTGTTTTGATTTTCTGAAGACTTCTAAAGCATTTAAAAGACATTTTAAAAGCATTTATAAAGACATTTAAAGCAATGTTGATCTCATTTAATCTTGTATAGACGTGGTACAATTGTATTGAAAAATGAATCGAGTTTTACACCAACAACTACACCATTGTCTTTAGAAATTGTAGTTGCCCCACGTTTACCTTGTAATTACAGAGAAGAGCCTGTACCTTGGGAAATTAAAAATTTCGCTTTCATAGTCTAAAGCAGTCTAAAGGGAGAGTGTGCCATTTTGCTCACCATCATAGACTCAAATGCACATTCTGGTTTTGTCTTAAATGATGGTCTGATTCACAATCACATTAAGTCCTATACGGCCAAAATAACATAAAGGGAGGCTAGCTTGAATGAGAGTCAAGCCTCTGACAGCCAGGGATGTTGTCCTTCAGAAATGTTTCCTGCAATTGCATTTGACATCCTCCTACCTTAATAAGATTGATATGATTTAAGGTTGTTCTGTGCCAAATAACTGGATGAGAATGGAGTAGTCAAATGTTTTGCTGTTAAGAGCATAGAGGAGAGCAAGGATATTAGGACTGAGGTTGTCATATCAGTTACATGTGATTTAGCGGGGTCTTATTCATGGAAAGCTGAGGGGAAAAATAGATCTGCTTTGGCCAAAGACGAGAGATGTAATCAGGCTAATCTGCCCAATATAATAGTTAATCATCAAGCTGTAGGCAGTAGAAAGACTCAGATAGCAAGGTAAAACATCAGCTCTTGGTCTGGAAAAGTTAGCTCATTTCGTTCCCCATTTTTCTTCATTCTGGTAGGTTAATCTGGCTGTTAGTTCTTCTGTTTACTGAACTTTACGTTAAGATTGAACCAGAACGTACTAAAGCCAGACACAGAGATACAGAAGACACTGTAATTTATAATGTGTATATGTGTGCATACGTACGTGTATACAGATGCAAAGATGAGGGAAATTTCTTCTGTGCTCACTTGAAGGGGAACACTGTAAAACATTTAAATCACTCTGACTTAGATGAATTCCTCTTCATGTGGCTAAATCAGTCTTTCTTATAGATCCTTACAATAGTAATTTTTATGGGGGTTCACTTGGAGTTTTCATACTAGAATGAACTATTTTCTAGCAACCATTCATACTTTGGCCGTATTAGCTAACAACAGATTTTAGCGGGAGCTAATATGCAGCTTTTTGCAGAGTAATGCATTTATTTAACTGCTCAAATACCTACCTTTCATTTTAACCTTAGGCATCTGTTCTTGAAAATCTTGGGGATGGTGTCTGGTCTGATAACTACCTGTTACACAAAAATGCTGGGATGTATTTATTTCTGTTTCTGACAATCAGTTTGTATCTTCATTTTAATTTAGCAATTGTTCACAAAAAACATGAGGACTGTTGTTTCTGTTTAGATTTAGTGGCATAGGGATAACTGTCTTAAGGATAGTCTCTCTCATTTCTGTTTGCAATATAGACTATAAATGCCAGTAGGAGCCCTCCCTAATGAGAAAGCTGTTTTTCATTTCATTGACCTTTACAAATATTCATAAGACTGAACAGAGTAAAAGAGTAAGAACTCTTTTTTGTAATCAAAGAAACAGCATCAACTGTATTTTGTACCCTGATTCTCCTACCTGGAAATTGTTGGCTATTATACTCCTGACAAGAGATAAGTTGGGTCCTCAATGAGGCTTAATCTCGTGTACCTTTGAATAGTTGTATTCAAATGTGATAGATGTTATTATCCCCTATGTATTGTATGCACTCCGAGTCTGGGACCGGATGGGCGTTAAGAGCTCTATTATTAGATGTGCAGTGTATTTGTGGCTCTGTAGACATCAGGGGTCTGCAGGAGCTGAGCATCTCTTACTGTCAAGTTTATTAATAAGTTCCCTGTGATATGCTAGCACAGATTATTCCCTACCAGGGAGTTTTTGCACGTGAGAGAGGATGGTCAAGTGATTTCCTAATGACTCGGAGGTTTAATGCTGAATTTGTTTGATGTCTTTTTATTGTTTATAGCTCTTCACAATAGCTAGATCCTATTACAGTTATCCCCATAGTATGTCTTAGGTAAATTGTGCATGAGACACTAAAATAAAGCATTAAGTACAATGGTGGAGAGAAGCACGTATAAGCGTAAGTGCTGATTGGAGATGGAAGTGTTTATGCCTCTTCTAGAGGCACAAAGTCAAATCCTGGAAAACATAATGCTGTATTAGAGTTCTCTGTAGGCATTACTTTGGTGACCCTTTGAATGTAACAGAGAAATGGTTTCAGCAGTCAGAGCCTCAAAGTAGAAATATCTGATCTATATCCATGGATTTAGACTGAAAGTGTGAATGACATTATGGTCCCTATGTATATTTAGAGGTAATCCTTGAAGGGAAGGGACTTACTCTTTCATTGATTCTGGACCCTCTTGACTTCATTTTACAACCTAATCTTTCTCCCACTGCCAGTAGGCTGAGAACAAAGAGGAACACAGACCTCACTTAAAAGTGTCAGAGCTCTTGTAGTTCACAGAATCTTAGGTGCTTCTGAGGGTGCACTGAAAGACTGCACTGCCACAAAAACAGTACTTCTGTCATCTGGCTGGAGATTTATATCCAGACCTCCAGAAATGATCTGTGATAAACCACTACCAGTTGAACCCCAGTCCTAATTCTAAGAAACTTAAAATGGCAATTTTATGAAAGGAAGAACGAAAGTAAAGGGGCAAATGCAAGGTAGAACGTAATGGTAAGAATCTTTAGGTCTTTTGCTCCAGTGGCTCTCTTATCTCTTTCCATTCAGCCACCCATCCACCCAACACTTTCTGTTGCAGTATATATTGCACCTCTGTGCATTGCATTACCTCAGGCTTCCTTCCCGCTTGGAAGAAGCACTTCATAATCTTAAAACTCTCCTTTTCCATGATATCAACAAAATATTTTAAAATGGTTTGGTTGCTGTTCTTATCTGTGTTCATCTGCTTTCTTTTTTCCTACATGTGGGTTGTAAACAATCAGGGTCAGAGACCATCTTAATTGCTGGGCTTATGCATCTGAAAACAATCAGCCATGGACCATCATTAGGGCTTTAGACATCATATCATTACCAGAACTAGACAACATATATAATAATAATAGTGATGGTGGCAGTAGTAATAGGAATAATAATAGTGTGCTCTGGACATGATTCTTCACTATGGTACTGACTGTAAAATGTTTCTATAATTCTGCTGACTCAATTTCAGTAATTGTATTTGAATAAACCTAAATTATCTTGTCAAAACTAGTGTATCTAGTTTCATGTCCATGTCCAATTTCTGTATTGAAAGAGTTATGAGACACATGTTCTGTCAAGATTGTTGATTGTAAATGGTTCTTTTTTCTTAAGATTTTTGTTACTGTGTTCACTGTGTTTGGACAAATTGCTACATAACATTTAGAAGTACTTATAGGTGAGCTGAAATGATCTATTTTAAGTTACATGTTATAATTAGAGAATGCTGTTTTGCTAGGGGAATGTTTTGAGGCCAAGTTAACATCATCAGGAGTAGCCAAGTCTGGTTTAGAGCCTTCCTACACAAAAACTTTGTTACCTAAAACAAAAGTAGATAACAACAGGTTAAGAGAGTAACATTAGAAGGCATTTGCCTGCAGTTTATTTACAGTTGAAAGAATAAATTAGATTTTTAAGTCCCAGCCTCTGTAAAATAAACTACCCATTCATCCCATAAAGTAACACAAAGTGAGTTTGAGAATTGTCGCATGACAGGATGTTGAAAATGAGGAAAGACTTACGAAGACTTGAAATTAGTTTACAGTAAAAGTTAAACTTCAGGTTTATTAAAACCCTTTTCTTGGCTTTCCTGGTGTGATTACATAATCATGCAGTTCCTCCAGAACTGCCTTGGTCTTTTTCCTACCAAGTCAACAGTATTTAGTTCTTCATTTGTAAATGTCATGCCTTTTTTTTGCTCTCAGAAAGTCTTTTCAGCAAGAGCCAGTAGTGCTGCTGATTGGCAAGAGCTGATCCTGTTTTATCCTGTATTTAAGTAGTATCTTTACACCATAGCAATGTTCTTTGCCAGTATTTGCCTGGCAAATAGCTACTGCTCTCCTTAGTAGGACTTGAAGTAGGACTGATGTTCTGCTGACAAGATCAGAGAGCTCTTAGTCTGCAAGCTGGTTTGCTTAAAACGAAGTCAGTACACTGCTCTGCAGTTGCTGCTAGAGCTTCAGGATATCTAGTTCTCCAGATGGAGGGGGAAAAAGGAGGTGTAATACTTGTGTAGGATACAGCTTCTAACTTAATAGGATTGAAAGTAATATGCGGAAATTGCTCCTCTGCCAAAACAGCAGGTCCCCTACCTGCTGGAATGAGCTGACCAACTGCTCTTAGTGAGGTAGCAGATCCCAGGTTCTCTTGTGCCCGTCTGGGGACTGGGAAGCAGGTAATCCTGCATCAAGTGACTAGTGTTAACAGTGTTTTTCATCTGGGCAATAGCGCCTGCTGATTTTTACCAGCACTGTTTAGAACTTACACATCTGCCTAAAAAGTACAACCAGCATGTTTGTGAAGTCTTCACTTGTGGCTGCAAATTAGCAGATACGTAGAGAAAGCTAGGCATTTCTTGTATTTAACTGAATTGTAGATGCAAAACTTAATGCTGCCATTTCAGGTAAATTTGTAAATTTGCAAGTCACCTTTGGTACCTGTTTTGAAATACTACACTCAAGGCTTCAGGTGGTGAGAAACTGAAGCCTTTGTTCATAGGTCTGCTGTGTAAGAAAAGAATGCCACTGCAGTTTTAAACCAGTCTGACCTTTGGAGTTCACATACACTGGGTTTACTCAGTTTTTTCTCCCTTTGGTTGAATATAGATAGCATCTCTCAACTTCTCTCTCTAAGAATGAGCTTTATTGTCTGTGGCTAATGGGTCCTGAAGTCTGACACTATGACTGCAAATAAAAAGTCTTCACATTGAGATAATATTATGTCCCTTTGTGGGTTAAACAGCTGCTTTTCAGAATCCTGGTCTTTGTCCTCCTAGTTCCTGTAGGAGGCAAGAGATGCTATATATAGGAATGAATGGGATTTGGGCAACGGGGTAGCTATTTTAATTTCTTGCTATTGTTCCCTACAAAGAGCATCCTGCTAATTTCAGAGCCACAAGCTATGCGGTGGAGAGGGGGAATAATTTAGCTTAGGAAGTTGTCTGAGATGTAATATTTATCCTCTTGTTCCTAGGGAGACTGTCAGACTCGGGAGGAAGCTGTCGCACTGGGTGTTGGACTCTGCAATAACGGCTTCATGCATCATGGTAATGCATCCATATTACTTCCCACAGCCAATTAAAGGAGCTCTTACTTCAGTCAGATTAGCTGACTGTATGAAAATCCCTTTTCTATAGGCTGTGCTATACATCTTGACATGTATATAATTGCAGGCATCCCAGCAGGTCCTTCTAAAAAGCAGTCTTCAAGCTTACACGAAATGTCTAAGCCTAGTACCTTCCCAAGTGAATCCCCTTGTTAATAGTTATGATGAGCCCTGAAGTGATTAGGCAAGCTAGAAGGGGAATGTTTTTTCACTGCATCTCTTTCAGTGCCACCAGACCAATGCACAGACCAAGTACTGTCCTGAAATATCACCAAGAAATGTCAGGTACAAAGTAAAATTGCCTAGTTCTTGCCTCTTGGACAAAAAGCACAATCCTCAGTGCTGAGTATCTGAAGCTCCCAAATCTGAAGTGCCAAATTGCCAAGTTAGGTATCATCCATCCTCAGTGATGCTGCTGCTAAACTGGGAAAGAAAACAAACCAGATCTGTATCAGTATCAAATAGCACATACAAAGTCCTAAGAGTAAAACATAATTTGTGCAATGAAACATCCAGTTTTAGTTATAAATAACGTTTGCTCTCCATATTTTGAATAGAGTTTTTGAGAGCAGATTATTGTAAATAACTACTAGAGAATTTGCATGGTCCTTGATAAGAACGTGGTTTTCTTTAAAGAATTGGATCTGTTTTCAGCCCATGTAAACTTTTGGCATTCATAGCGTCCTTTGGCAAGGAGTTCCTTTGCATAAATACATGTTGAATGAAGAAGTTGTTCCTCAGGTTTTAAAATTGTCACTTGCTGCTTTTATTTGAAGCCCCCAGGTCTTGCATTTGAAAACGTGGTAAAGAACTTTGTCACGCCTTACAGAATTTTATAGATCTCATTTCCCTCTCAATTCCTTTTTAGGTTGAAAAGCCTTAGTCTGTTAGCTGTCTCACTTACCTTTGAACAGCCATTTTACACCTCTTTGCTCCTTTTATAGTTTTACCATATTAATTTTGATATGGGAAAGGAGCATAAGGTATTGAGTAGCATCTTTCTTCCAAGAGGATCTTCTGCATTTCATATGCATTCTACATGCGAGGGAGGTCAGACGTCATATCATGAGCTACTATGCACTGTGAAGAAAAGTGTATCCCTAAAATGCAGTAGTAGCTTAAAAAAATAGAGCCGAATAGCTAGCACAGGGATGCAGCTGATCTTTGTTCTGTAAAGACTGAGGAAATGTTTAGGATTTCCTTTAACTTCCTTTTTTGTTTCTCTCTTTCTTTCTCTGTGTAAATGCATGTATGTATTTCATATATATTGTTTCCAGTCCTGGAGAAAAGTGAATTTAAGGATGAATCCTTGTATTTCCGCTTTTATGCTGATGAGGAGATGGAAGGCACCAGTTCCAAGAGCAAACAATTACGTAATGACTTCAAGC